GGGACTCGGTTGAGGAGTCCCCATTCGGCGCCGAGCTCGAGGACAAACTGCTGCGTGGGCAGGGCAAGGTCCTGCAGATCACGGAGCTGCACGACGAGGGCCTGATCCCGGACTGGAACTATGACGAGCCCGAAACCGGCGCGTATGCCGGGGATTCCATCCTGGCCGTGAACGGCATTTGGGATGACACCGACGCGATGCGCGAGCAGCTCGCGAAGGAGTTAACCCTGGACATTGTGGTGAAGCGGGATGCCCAGACCCTGCTCGATGAGTGCAAGGATCGAGGGGCAAAACATCAGCGTAAGCATCCTCTCTCGGAGTTCGGCGCGGATTTCTTCGATCAGCGCCGGGTTCGCGCTGACCTCCCAGTATGCTTGTGCTGTTTCTGCTTCCTCTCGAGGAGGAGGAGCGGAAGATTAGGGGGAAGCTGCGCTCCACGGAGGGCCAGATAGAGATGCAGATCATCAACGAGGCCGACGTCGTCTGTTGCACCCTGGCAGGCGCCGGGGGCGAGTCGCTCAAGTGGATGAAGTTCAACGCCGTCCTCATCGACGAGGCCACTCAGGCGTGGCGGCTCGCGCAGAACAGGGGCAGCGCGAGGGGGGGCAGTCTTCGACCAAGGGTGCCCCGCATCATAGGAGCCCCCCATCCCCCCCCCCCCCCCCCCCCTCCCCCCCCCCCCCCCTCCCCCTCCCCTCCCTCCTCCTCCTCCTCCTCCTCCCGCTCCTCTCCTCCTCCTCCTCCTCCTCTCCTCCTCCTCCTCCTCCTCCTCCTCCTCCTCCTCCTCCTCCTCCTCCTCTCTCTCTCTCTGAGGCCCCTGATGGTCGGAAGCGTCTGCTCAGTGTTTCGCACCGCCGGTTCTGGCCCACCGCGCTTCGGGGCGTCACGCGAGCCGCCTCCTGGTCTCCGAGGCCTTCCCAGCCCTCCCCCCGCGCGGAGCGGAGCGACACGCTGTCCGCCTACAGGGCACGGCGTGCCACCGAGGCCGCCGCCGCGACACGCTGAGCAACCGTTCCCCGATCTTGCGACGGCCCTCCCCCGCCTCGCCCAGAGGCCTCCAGGAGGCCCCCCCAGCCGTGCGGGGCACGTCCGCCGACCACCTCGCTGGTCGTGGCCGGCCCAGGATGCACCCCTGGATAGATATATATATATATATATATATATATATATATATCCACGGAGACCAGAACGATGCGATTGATACATGATCCTGGGCTCAGGGCCCAGGGCGCCCCCCCAGACGGGATGAGTCTCAGGGTTCTTCGGGCTCCCCCCCCAGATGGGAAAGGGGTGTGACGACGAAGACGACGACGACGTCGTCGACGACGACAATGATGGTTATGACGACGACCACGATGCTGACGGCGACGACGAGGACAAGCATGTTGCGTCTCCTCCTCCCTCCGTCCCATCCTCACCCCTACCTCCTCGTTCCTTGGCCCTCTCTTCCCTGCCCTGCTCCCTTCTCTTACTTTCTCTCCTCCTCCTCCTTCTCCTGATGGGGGGGGGAGGGCCGGAACCCATACCTGCCACCGCACGTCAATAGGGAAAGACCCCACCACGCTCTACACATCAGTATATCTGTTTACGTATGTGATATATATATATATATATGTGGAATAAGACATACATAAATAAATAACTAATATATAAATACATACATACATACATAAATACACACACAGGGGGACAGGACTGGTGGCTCCCAGGGCGGCCCCTCGACGCGCCACGGGGGCCCGGGGGCCCCGGGAGCGCGCTGGGATCGCGCCAGGAGGCTGAAGACGCCCCCAGAAGGCACCAAGAGAGCCGTAAGAACGATCCAAGAGGGCTCCAAGACAGTCTAAGAGCGCTCCGAGCAAGATGTCGGTCGCGGGGACGTCCCCGTCGGTCCGGTTTGCCTGGCGTTCCTTTTGTTTTCTATGCGCGCGCTAGTTACAGCGCTGGGAATAACTATGTTTTCAACTGTCCCTCCAGCTTGTTTCAAGTCGGGCCTGTCCCTCTACAGGGGAAATCTTCAAAAATAGTAAAAAATAGTCAGGGGGACGATTTTTTGTATTTTTGCACACTTTTGGGCATTTTTGGGGCATTTTGAATTTTTCGTCCAAGTCCCCCTGTAGAGGGGGACAGGCCCGACTTAAAGCGTGTTGTTGGTAACTGTTTTGAAGACGTGAGAGGTCACCCGCAGGGGCGCGAAGGTACGTCATCGCGCCTCGCGCGGCGCGGCCTGGGCCGGGGCGGCCGCCGTTCTCCGAGGGGGCGCGCTCGAGGGCGTGCGGGCGCGACGATAGCAGAGTCCCGAGCCGCGCCTCGCGGGGCGCGGCGCGCGAAGGTGGGCGGCCGCCACGTCGCGCTCCCCGCTCGCGCCCCCTCCCGCCCGCGTGGCCCGCGAGGCGTCGGAGCCCCGCGCGCTGATCGCGGTGAAGAAGCTGAGCGGGGCGTCGGCGCGCCTGGTGCTGGTCGGGGACCAGTGCCAGCTCCCGCCGACCTGCGTGTGCATGGAGGCGGCGAAGCGCGGCCTGTCCGTGTCGCTCTTCGACCGCCTGCTGAACATGGCCGAGCACCTGAAGCCCGTCATGCTGACCACCCAGCGCGGGGCTCAGAAGGGGCCCCAGGAGGGGCCGACAGAAGGGTCCTCCGCGCCCAGACGTGCTCGCCTCGTCGAGAGATCATCAATGCGGGAGGTTTTTGGTTGCCTACGGCTCCGGGGGCCCTCGCCGGGCCCCGGGACCGTCAAACATCGATTCGGGATAAAACCAGCCACGAGGAAAGAGTCAAGACTTTCGGGGAGTTCGCATGGAAAGAATCAAGACATCGCATGTCTGGGTGTCCAGGTGGGTTTCTTTGTGGCCCAGTGGGCTTCTGTATGGCGCAATGTGCTCCAGAGTGTACGAGTCGTCGAGTGCGGTGGAGGGGTGGGTGGGGGTCAGGTCCCAGGCAGCGTCCGGGGAGCCCCCCCACATCCAGAGAGGCGCCTCTTGCGCGCTTCGTGGAGCCTCTGCAGGACTTCTTTTGGCGCCCCCTGCGGATTTCTTGGGGCCCCTGGGGGCCCCTGGAGATCTGAGGGCCCCCGAGCCGGCCCGCGGATCCTGCGAGGAGGGCCCCAGAGGCGCGTCCCCCCGGCGAGGTGCCCCGAGGGAGCCTCAAGAGCGGGCCACGGGGCGCGAGGTCTGCGCCGTGCCAGGCCTCCCTCCTCGGCAAAGGGCGATGGGGGTTGCGCGCGGGCAGCTCGCAGGAGGCAGCCCAGGGTGCGCAGTCGTGGGCAGCCTCCTGGGCCTCGCGCAGGGGGAGGTGGGGGGGTGGGGCAGGAGGGTGGGGGAAGGCTTCTCGGAAGCACCCCTGCCGCTCGGGAGGCGCGGGCCTCGTCGATACAGATGCAGGGCCCGCGCCTCCTGTGCAGCGGCCTCCTTCGAAGAAGCCTTCCCTGCTGCCCCTGCCCCCCTTGTGCTCGCCGTCAACTGGTCACGGGCAGTCTCCACGTGTCTGACCCCGGCAGGACTCCGCCCGAGGCGGCGCCGGGGGTGCCGAGACCTCTCCCGGGGCTTGCCGAGGGCTGCCTCTGGAGGGCCTCTGGGGCTGTCTGTGCGCAGCCCCCGGCCTTGCCCTCCAGCTCCTCCTCCAGCTCCTCCTCCAGCTCCTCCTCCTCCTCCTCCTTCTCTACGCTGGGCTCCTCCTCCTCCTCCTCTTCCTCCTCCTCCTCCTCCTCCTCCTCCTCCTCTCCTCCTCCTCCCCCTTTTCCCACTCCCCCTTTTCCTCCTGCTCCCCTCGCGGATGCTTCTCACACCTCCTCGCAGGTCCAGGAAGCCCAAACGGGGCAAGAAGAGATCCAGCTGACGAAGATGAGGGAGAGGAGGAGGCGAACCTTCTAAGGTTCCGAATGCACCCCATCATAAGTCGCTGGCCCTCCGACTCCTTCTACGGGGGGAGGCTGATCGACAGCGCACGCGCGAAGGCGCGAGTGCCGATGCCAGGACATGTGGCCCGGCACGAACTCGTCGGTGTCCTCTTCTTCTTCGTTACTATTATTTTATATTATTATTATCGGGGGTGAGATCGAAGTGGAACGGAGAGCCCCCCCACCGGGAAATCGGTTTCGGTTTCGTGTTCGTGTTCGTGCGTGCGGTGCGTGCGGGCGAGGCGAAGCTGCGTGGGCGGGCGAGAAGAAAGTCTCCTCCGGCTGAGGCGCGGCCGGACCAACTGATTCCTCTCCGGGGGCCGGTGACCCGCGGTGTCCCGCCGGTATCCCGCCTCCGGCTGAGACGCGGCCGGACCAAAGGATTCCTCTCCGGAGGCCGGTGGCCCGCGGTGTCCCGCCGGTGTCCCGCCAGTGTCCCGTCGGTGTCCCGATGATGATGATGATGATGATGACGATGATGATGATGATGATGATGGTGATGGTGATGGTGATGATGATGATGATGATGATGATGATGATGATGATGATGATGATGATATGATGATGTTGATGCTGATGCTGATGCTGATGCTGATGATGATGCTGATGTTGATGATGATGATGATGATGTCTATGATGTTGATGAGGATGATGAGTATGATGAGATGATGTTGATGCCGATGATGATGAGATGATAATATGATGATGATGGTGATGAAGATGATGATGGTGAACCGATGATGATGATGATGATGCTGATGATGATGATGAGGTTGATGATGCTGTTGATGATGATGGTGATGATGATGGTGTTCCGATGATGATGATGTTGGTGATGATGACGATGATGGTGTCTTGATGATGATGTTGACGATGAGAATGATGATGAGGTGATGCTGATGATTTTGATGATGGTGGCCTGATGATGGTGATGATGCTGATGCTGATGTTGATGGTGATGATGGCGTCCCGATGATGATGATGGTCACGATGATGATGGTGTCCCGATGATGATGATGATGTTAATGCTCAGGACGATGCTGCTGCTGATGATGATGATGGTGTCCCGATGATGATGATGATGATGATGATGATGATGATGTTGTTGTTCATGATGATGGTGAGATGATGATGATGATGATGATGATGATGATGATGATGATGATGATGATGATGATGATTGTGGTGTCCCGATGATGATGCTGATGATGATGATGATGATGCTGATGATGATGATGGTGTCCCGGTGATGATGATGATGGTGACGATGATGGTGTTCCGATGATGATGTTGGTGATGATGCTGCTGCTGATGATGATGGTGATGAGGTGATGATGATGATGTTGTCCGGATGATGATGATGATGATGATGATGATGATGATCATGTTGATGACGTTGATGACGATGATGTTGACGATAGTGATAATGACGGTGACGTTGATTGTGGGACCGATTGTGATCTCGATAGCGAGATTGATAGTGAGACCGATATTGAGATCGATTGTGAGATCGATAGTGAGATGTGAGATCGATTGTGAGATCGATAGTCAGATCGATTGTGAGATCGACCGGATGAAATATATCGATTGAGATCGATTGTGAGATCGATCGAGTGAGATCGATCGGGCGAGACCGATAGTGAGACCGATCGAGTGAGACGTTGGTTCCTCCCCCCCGAACCTCCTTATCACCCGAAGGGGGGTCGTATAGGTACTTATTGTTTTCATCATTATAACCCTTCTTCTTATTATCATTATTATTATTCGTTTGCATCGTTATTCTTTCTCACAGGTATTATACGTATTCCTCTTCCTCTTTCTCCTTGTCCTCCTCCTTCTCCTCCTCCACTCTCCGTCCTTTCTGTCCTCTCCTCATTACTCCTTCTTCCCGAACCCTCCGTCGTTGGGTTCTCGTTTTGAACTGAGCACTGTGGTCGCATCCTTCCTTCTCCTCCTCCCGCCTCGTTCCGTTCTCTATTTATCCTGGGGTGCTGCGATCTGCGAAATTGTCGCTTCCTTCGAGGGCTGCTGGGGGGGGCCAGCACGGTGCCGCCATACGCGCGTTCAGATTAGACCTTACCCTGAGGGGCTGCGATCTGCGAAACTGTCACCACTTTCGAGGGCTGCTGGGGGGGGGGGGGGGGGCAGCACAGTGTCGCCACACGCGGATGCAGATTAGGCCTCGCCATCCTTGGGGGGCTGCGATTTGCGAAATTGTCGCCATTTTCGAGGGCTGCTGGGGGGCAGCACAGTGTCGCCATACTCGGGTTCATATTCGACCTCATTGGAGGGCTGCTGGGGAGGGGGGGGGCGGGGCGCACAGTGTCACCATTCGCGGATGCAGATTAGGCCTCGTCAGCCTTGGAAGGCTAGGATCTGCGAAATTGTCGCCACTTTCGAGGGCTGCTGGGGGGGCAGCACAGTGTCGCCATACGCGGATTCAGTTGAGACCTCGCCATCCCTGGCGGGCTGCGATTTGCGAAACGGTCGCCGCTTTCGAGGGCTGCTGGGGGGGCAGCATAGCGGGGGCCCTACATGGATTCAGATTAGACCTCGCCATCCCTGGCGGGCTGCGATCTGCGAAACTGTCGTCACTTTCGGGGGCTGCCGGGGGGGCTAGCAGAGTGGGGGCCCTACCCAGACTCAGATCGAGGGCTGCTGAGGGGGCCAGCATTGTGGGTACCTGTCGCAGACCTAGATTAGACCTCGCCGTTCCCTTTGGGGGGTGTGATCTGGGAAAGTGCTGGTGGAACTTTTGGGGGCTGCTGGGGTGGCGGGGCAGCTCTTTTTTCTGTCGATCCATGGGTTAAAACCACCTGCATCAAGCCCTTGTCCATTGACGCATGCCCTGCGAATCGCGCTGCTCGGCGAGCCTCTCATGTAGCGTTCGCAACACAAGTATTTCTTTGCAACGTGAACACCCCCGGTAAATTCTTCTCAGCTCGTTTGGCCACGCGTTGCGCAAGGATTGGGTACATCGTCAGAGTAATTCTCTCCTTTCCCGCTCCTTTCTCATCACACCCTCCCTCCCGCCCTGGGATGGCTGCGCTTGTTGCGCGCACCAAAGCGCACACAGGCGGTAGCTGCCGCACGCTGTGCGAAAGGTGGTCTGCAGCCATTCCGCCTCGGGGTTCCCGAGGAAAGCGCTCCCGCCTGGGAGACGGCCTGGGGTGGCCCAGCATTGGTTCTGGCGAGCAGGAAGGGGGGGCGAAGTGAGGTCCTGGGTTCGAGGAGGTCTTACGCTTTCGGGTAGTTGGGAGCCGTTTTCGCGCCCTGGGACCGTCAGAGACGGGTCTGGGGTGGAAAACTGCGACAGACGGACCCCGGGAGGGGGTCTGGGGACCGATTTTGACCAAATTTGTCTCTGTTCCCGCTCTTGGCAGACTATCGCGGGGCCCATCCAGTTCGGACTCCCCGCGCCGCCTCCCACTGCCACCCTCCCTCACTCCCCCCTCGAGGCTCAGGTGGCGAGCAGCCCGTACACTCACCTGCACTCGGGCCTCTCCGCCTGCTCCCTGCCCTGCGCTGCGCCAGCACGGCTCCCAAGAGGGCGATCGATAAGGCGGGCGCGCGGCCCGAGATGCTGGCGCGCCTCGCGCGCGTGCCGGCCCGCTGTCGGTCCGGCCGACCCGAGTCGTCCATCAAGCAGTGGCGAAGCGTCCTGGCGTGCCTATAGGTTGTAGGCCTACCAAACGTTGTTTTTGTTCGTAGAACATTTTCGGGTTCTAAGGACACGTCGTGGTAGGCCTATAGAACTGCCGGGACGGTCAGTCCCTGCTCAAGCCCCTCTGGCCTCGCCGCGGCGATGCTGAGGCCTGCGGAGCCGCTCGAGCCCAGGCGCTCTGCCAGGCTCCGCCGTGGTTGCCGCGGTGCCCGTGGCTACGACGTCTCGGCGTCCAGTTTTCACGCGCGCGTGCTGCGCTCGGCGGGGGGGCGACGGGGAGGTGCCCCGACCGGAGGCGTCCGCGCCAGTCGTCTGGGCGCAGGCCTCTTCGCTCCGTGCTGCTGGGGGTCTCCCGGTCACTGATGGGCCTGTTCTCCACCACCACCACCATAAGTTGGAGGGGGAGGGGGTCCTCCTCCTCCTCCTCCTCCTCCTTCTCCTCCTCTTCGTCGTCCTCCTCGTCCTCCTCCTCCTTCCCCCATCCAACTAATGGTGGTGGTGGTGGTGGAAAACAGTCCCATCAGTCACTCCGGGTGCAAGAGTCGAAGCAGAACGAGCGACATGAACGCATGTCGCGAGCGCGGCGGACAGATTCGCATCCGCGCGCTCGCGGTTTGGATTCCAGGGCGCGGTCCAGCGGATGTGCGGTCGAGCGGAGACGCCCCGCGCGGGGCAGCCCGCATCCGCGGGGTTTCGCGGCCCCGGGCAGCGCGGCCTGCGAGGCCGAGGGTACGGATGCGTGTTTCGCCCACGGCACATGGTAGCTGGCCAAACACATCGACCGATAGAAATTCGCCGAGCGCGGTCCACCACTCGCAAAGTGCCCTCTCGCAAACGTCTGAAACATACAGGTCTTCCTCGATGTGATGTCTCGTAGATCCCCCGTGGCGGATCCGGGCAACTTGCGAGCAGTTGACTTGCGAGTCGTGGAGCGCGCCTGTCCAGAACTCACGCCGTGGATGCCGCGGTCGGCGTGTTTCGGGGGAGCGCGCCGCTCTCCTTGGCCAGCTCGGGGGCCCTGGAGGGTTCCCGGGCCCGCGAGCTCCCCGCCTTCTGCCCCATGCGAATCAGGAGGGACAAAAACACACACACAGACACAAGTCATCGTTGATTCCCCAGAAAATATGGGAACATGTGGGAAGTGGGGGGAAGACAGAAACCCAGAACAGATGGGAAAATAAAAGGGAATCCTGTTATTGGTGTGAAGTTAGTTGTGTGTCCCAGGGCCCCTTCAGCGAACAAGGACGCCGACGCCGAGCACTTATGCCCGCGGCGCGCAGAGCTGCTCGGGTGTACGCGCGGACTTCTGCGATCTGCGCTGGACCTCCGCCTGGCGACGCCTCCGGCTCCGCCCTGCGAGCCCTGCGCGCCCCGGGGAGGGAGGCGTCCTTGACGGGCCTGTTTTTCCACCACCACCACCATGAGTTGGAGGGGGGAAGGAGGTGGAGGAGGAGGAGGAGGAGGAGGAGGAGGAGGAGGAGGAGGTGGAGGAGGAGGAGGAGGAAGAGGAGGAGGAGGAGGACCCCCTCCCCATCAAGCTTCTGGTGGTGGTGGTGGTGGAAAACAGGCCCATCAGTCCAGGTTCTGGGGCGAGCTCGGGCGATGGTGGAGCTCCCGCGTGGGTGGCATTTCTCCTCCGCCAGAGTGGCGCTCATGATCTTGCGGTGGCCGATCTTCTCTGTCCGGATGTGGACCGTGCGGCTGTTGGCTGCTTTGAGGGTGCGGTGGCGCCTCGCAGTTTTTTGTAGTTCGGGGGGAGTGTTTGTGGCGATGCTTTTTGTTCAAGAACCGGCGTCGTCGGCATAGTCTTGAGCTTGAAGTCTCCAGACGGCGGCAACGGCAGGCAGAGACTATCAGGTCTCTCTTGCCCGCTGCTCTTACTGTTCGCCCATGGCTCAAAATTGCATGTGAGTATGGTATGTGGCATACCTTTTCACGGACCGGTGCCGCATTGAGAAAACAAACCTGCCTTGCGGCATTTTGTCGACATCGCAAGGCAAACCTCGACATCGCTCTTATAACCTCTGAGGTTCGCTGCAGTTCTTCGTGATCGTGGTGGTGGTAGTCATGGCGCTGGCGGTGGTCGTGGCGGCCGTGGTAGCGGCTGCGGGGACCTACCTAGCGCCCGAGTGCCCGAGTGCGTTCAGCAGCGTCGCGGAATTTTAATTTAGAGGGATTTGCTGATCTGCCGAGGTATCTCACCAAGGGGGCCGCTGCGTGGGCGACTCTCTTGTGCTCCGCAGGCGACCGGCCTTTTCGGCGGCCGTGGAGCGGGCGACGCGCGTGCGATCCGCCCCGTGGGTGCCCGCCACGCTGGCAACGCACTCGCCAAAATGCTCCCTTGCGAGGGCGACGCGCACGTTCGCGAGGACGGCCGGCCTCTTCGCCGGCCGACGCACGGGCGGCGCACGGGCGACGAACGCGCGACGCACCCCTTGTGGCGAATTGGGGGGGGTCAGCACGCCGGTCGTTGTACTGGGCCTCAACACGTGGCACATCGACGTCAGGATGTCCTTGTTTGTCTTCGTGACGGGGGTGGGGCGCCACCTTGTCGCATACGCACGCGCCTGCGGGATCCTACTACGACGTCGTGCCAGTCCCCTCATCGTCCCCCTCTCCATCTTCTCGTGCCTCCCTTGCTGGACGAAGCATGTATGTCCAGGCGTACGCGCGATTCGATCTGCTTTCTCCCGTCGCAGCACCCTCGGCCAGACCCACTGCCGTATCCCTTGGTCGTTGTTGTCCTCGAGCTATGGCAGACCGGCTCCAGGTTTTGGCATCATTTGCTCCGGGTGGGTCCCCAGGCCCTTCGCAGGGTCAACCATGGTCATCTTGTCGCGCCGCGTCCAGCCGCAGCCGAGCCCCGGCAAAACGGCGACGTCCCCGTCGACGTCGCCCTCGTCCAGCCGAGGAAATGACGACGTCCTCGCCGACGTCGTCTCTGAAGGTTCTCGTGGCGACGTCGTCGACGTCTTCGTCGGCGTCGTCGACGACGCCCTGCAGAACGACGACGTCGTCGACGTCGCCGTCGTCCAGCCGAGGACAGGCCCCGCAGCGAGGCCCGAAACTGGTCGCGGCGTGGCGCGCTGTCCGTGGGCCGCCAGGGAGGGCACCTCGGCTTTAGCGCGCGAGGGGCGTGGCGCACGCGCGGTCCCTGCGCTGCCGCCTCCACCGGCGGGTGGCGGGGGGGGTTCCTCCCTCCCATCCTCCCGCCTCCTCCTCCTGCTCCTCCCTCCACTCCCTCTCTCTCTATATCTACCTCCCTCCTTCCCTCCCTCCCCCCTCGGCGGGGAAGAGAGAAGAACGACGCTGTTGTCGATGTAGAACGGTTGGGGAGGAGGAGGAGGAGGAGGAGGAGGAGGAGGAGGAGGAGGAGGAGGAGGAGGAGGAGGAGGCGGATGAGGAGGGCGGCGTTGGAGGAGTAGGAGGCGGATGATGATACTGCTGCTGCTGATGATGATGATGAGGATGGCGATGATGACGATGAGGATGCTGATCATGATGTTAATGCCGATGATGCTGCTGATGATGATGCGGATGATGCTGCTGATGTCGGGTGATGATGGCTATGACGATGCTGATGATGCTGATGATGCTGCTGATGCTGACAATGATGATGCTGACAATGATGATGCTGATGATGATGACGAGGATGAGGCCGATGAGGAGGGCCTGGTCGGAGTAGGAGGCGGATGATGTTGATGCTGATGCTGATGATGATGATCATATTAATGATGATGCTGATGATTATGCTGATTGTGATGCTGATGCTGATCATCATGATTATGATGCTGGTTATGATGACGATGGCGATGATATTGATGATGCTGATCATGCTTATTATGATGATGCTGATGGCGATTATGATGATTCTGATGATTCCAATGATACTGATGATGCTGCTGGTAATGCTGATTATGATGCTGATGCGGATGATACTGCTACTGATGATGATGACGGTGATGATGCTGATGATGATGATGATGATGATGATGATGATGATGTTAGAGATGATGATGGTGATGATGATGCTGACGATGATGATGATGATGTCTAGGATGATGCTGATGCTGATGCTGAGGATGGTGATGATAATGATTATGATAATGGTGATGCTGATGATGGTGATGATGCTGCTGATGATGGTGATGATTAGGTTGATGCTGCTGCTGATGATGATGCTGATGCTGCTGATGATGATGATGATGATGATGCTGATATTGATTATGATGATGCTGCTGATGTTGATGCTGATGGTGCTGCTGATGATTATGATGATGATGATGCTGATGATGATGATGATGCTGCTGCTGCTGATGATGAGGAGGAGGAGGAGGAGGAGGAGGAGGAGGAGGAGAGGGACCAGCGAGCAGATGGCGGAAGGGAAGGGCCCCGCCCCACACCCCAGCACGAAACGCTTTGTTGAACCCTCTCCACAAGGCCGTCCTTTTCTCGTCCCCCTTTGTGCGCGTCGCAAGTCCATGCGGGCTGCGAACGAGCGCGAAGATGACCGCTCTTCGCGCGTCGCGAGGCGCGAAGCCAGGTCGGCCTCGTGGCCCGCAGGGCGCGAGGAGGGCCGGCCAGCCCGATTCCTGCACCCCCGCCCGCGGGTGCGCGCGCGCGTGCTCGGCGTGCGCCCTGCTCGTGCCCCCCCTGCCTGGCTTTGCCAGCGCGCGTGCGGGCTGGGCACCGTGCACAGTTCCGTGCGCCGTGCTCGGCCTCCTCCCCGCCGCCGAGGATTCCCCTGGCCGGCCGCCGGCCCCCTCGCCTTCGTGAAGACGACGGGCCGGGAGGCCCAGAGCATCGACGGCGTCTCCAAGACCAACGCCTCGGAGTGCAGCGCCGTGGCCAGCGTCGCGACCCTCTGGGGGCCCAGATCCATCGACCACGACACCCGCGCGTCGGGAGAGAATCACGGCGGGCAGTCTTGGTACGCCTTCGGCCCCCGAATCTGGGGCCCTCCCGTGTCGGCTCGGCCCGAGGAGTCAAGGCCATGCGGGAAGATTGAGTCGAGAGCTCTGGTCGTGACGGTCTGACGGCATCGCGTTTTCTTTGGACGTCGGACGTTGTGGTTGGAATGTGCAGGTCTATCGATTGGGCTTCGGTCATAGATCACGGGCTGGTGATCCATCGATTGGTCAGGATGTGGGCGATCACTCGGAGCCGCCGGAGCAGGAGCAGGAGGAGGGCGACAGAGAGGCGGGCGATGACGAGGAGGAGGCTGGAGGCGGAGGGGAGGAAGGAGGCCTTGGCTGTGGCGGAGAGAGAAGGCAGGAGGAAGGGAGGGAAGGGAGGGAGGGAGGGATGCGCGGGGTGGCAAGTTCGAGTATCGCCCCGGATCATGCCCCGAAGACGTCCCCCTGGAGGCCCTGGGGCCTCTGGGAGCGATGGGGGCGTCGGCGTGTTTTGGAGGAGGAGGAGGAGGAGGAGGAGGAGGAGGCTGCCCCGGGGGCCTACGGAGGCATCTCGGTGGCCCCGAGGCGGGCCGGAAGCGTCTCAGGCCTCCCTCGCCGATCCTCGCGGGCCGAGGGCGATCGGCCGGAGTCAGTCATCGATCGGCGGAGCGTCCCGCTCGCGGGAGGGCGGATCTGGCCAGCGGAGCGGGCCCACGACTGGACTCGAGCTTTGGAGAGCAGCATCGGCGCCGGCGGCAGCCGCGGTCGGCTTCCGCGCCCATCGGAGCTGCTTTTTTGACCGTGTGCATCCGATGAGGAACGGATGGTGGGCCTGCTTTCCACCGCCGCCACTAGAAGCAGGAGGGGGAGGGGGTCCTCGTCCTCTCCTCCTCTCCCTCCTCCTCCTCCCCCTCCACCTCCCTCCCCCCTCCAACCTGTGGTGGCGGTGGCGGACAACGGGCCCATCAACGGAGGCCGCCCCCACCCACAGCTTCAGCCCCGCGCGGGGTGCGCCCGCCCCCTGGGCGGTGGCACGCCGGAGCGCCGTCCTGCACGGGCGTGCTGCTCGGGCGCGTCGCCGCCCCATGGGGGCCGGGGCGCACACCGCGCCCTCGCTGTGCGCTCTCTCGGCGGCGGTGGCCCCCCTCTGCTTCTCCGCGGAGTGTCGGAGGAGGGGGGGGCGCGCCGGCGTGGGCGAGAGGTCGGGCCCCGGAGGGCCCGGGCCTCTCGCGTGCTCCGCCCTCGCCGCGCGCGGCGGCCGCCGACGTCGACCGTGCCTGCCCGCCCGCGCGAGCGTGCGTCGGGTGTGCGTGTGTGCGTGCGTGCGTGCGTGCGTGCGTGCGTGCGTGCGTGCGTGTGTGTGTGTGTGTGTGTGTGTGCGTGTGTGCGTGTGTGCATGTGTGTATGTGCGTGTGTGCGTGTGTGTATGTGCGTGTGTGTGTGTGTGTGTGTGTGCGTGTATGCGTGTGTGTGTGTGTGTGTGCGTGTGTGTGTGTGTGTGTTTGTGTGTACGTGCGTGGTTTTGTACGCAGTGCGGCTCTCCAGGTCGTGCGGAGACTCCTGCAGCACGTGTCCGCCAGTGACATCGGGGTCATCTCGCCGTACCGGGGGCAGGTCGGCATGCTGAAGAAGTCGCTGCCCCGGGACGTGGAGGTGAAGACGGTGGACGGCTTCCAGGGCCGCGAGAAGCCCATCATCCAGCCGCGCTGCCGCGCGAATCCGCCACCGCACGCCTGGGAGAGGGGTCTCCTGAGGGACGGGCGGGTGGCGAAGGCGAGGAGCGGTTCCACGGACCCCGCACCAGAGGCTTTGCTCTGTTTCTGGCGTCGCTCTTGCGTGGAAGGCAGCAACACAGGCATGGACGCGGTGCAAACATGGGCGCACATTGGGCGGCTCGATGTGTCACTAGGGGGGGCTTACGACGATGTCTTCGCGCAAAGGAGCGAAACTAGCGAACGCGCAAAAAGGGAACGAGACACACTTGTTCCTGAAACGACCGAGTAACGCCACTACAGCGAGAGCTCAAAACGGGACACGTTAGAGCATCATTCCACCAGACGTTGCAGGTGGTGGACTGCGGAAAGGTCATTTATACAGCAAGGCGCGACACAGTCATACACACATTCACACAACACACACCATCAGACAAACAACCACGCAGACACACACACACACCCACACCACACACACAGACACACGAACACACAGACACACAGACACACAGACGCACAGACACCACAGACACACAGACACCCCGACACACAGACACACAGGCACTCAGACACGCAGACACCAAGACACACACCCACATCCACACACCCACCCAGCCACGCACCCACCCACCCCACCACCCACCACACCCACCCACCCACACACACACACACACCACCACCCACCCCCCACCCCCCCCCATTCCCCTTCCCCCACACACGCCAACACACAGACACCCACACAACACATACAGACACAGACACAGACACAGACACAGACACAGACACAGGCATAGGCACAGGCAGAGGCACAAACACACGCACACACACGCGCGCACGCACGCACACACACAACACACACACTAACACACACGCACAACAAACACAAGACACACACACAAACACACAACCACACACAAACACACTAACACACAAACGCACAAACACACTAACACACACGCGCACAAACACACTAACACACAAACACACAAACACGCACACACACACATCAACACACAACCATACAACCACACGACACACACAACCACACAAGCACACAACCACACACACACACCACGCACAGACATACAAACACACAAACACACAATCCCACACGCACGAACACACAAACACACACACACACACCCAAACACAAAAACATACAAACACTCAAACACACACACACATATTCACTAACACACAATATCACGAACACGGAATCACACAAACACGCAACTGCACACACCAACCAGTGCATGCACGGTGGCGGATCATATTCTCCTGCGTGAGATCCAATGACCAGGGCAGCGTGGGATTCTTGGCGGACGAGCGTCGGCTGAACGTGGCGCTCACCCGCGCACAGCGAGGGCTCGTCGTGGTTGGCAACCCGAGCACGCTGGAGAACGACAAGACCTGGAGAAGTTGGCTGGAGTTCGTTCGCAGCAACAAGCTGACCTTGGACCTTGCCGACGTCGATGTTGAGGCAGGGCCGCGCCAAACACACGTAAACACAATGTTTTCGGCGAGGTGGTCCTCCTCCAGAGGGCGGGGGGGAAGGGGGTGGCGGGGGAGAGCGGAGAGCGACAGGTGTGGCGGGGGAGGGGGACGGAGGGGGTGGGGTGCGGATGGGGACGCGGGGGCGGAGAGAGAAATGGGGTTGGGGTAGGGGTAGGCGATTGCGGCAGGCAGGAGGGGGATGCAGGACAGAGGAGGAGGACCGAGTGAGCGGCGTGGGGGGGATCAGGAGGAACAAGGGCAGGAGGGGAGAGGGGGCGGTGAGGAAAAGGTGGAGGGCGAAGGAGGTGGGAGTTTTTCTCAGACGGTGCTTTCACTTAGGGATTCTTATTTCTTTAGGAAGGAAATGGGCTGGTGTGGCGGTCTGGCGGCTGTGGTGTCGCCGTCGCCGCCCCGTTGCTGCCTCGTCGCCACCTGGGGTTCGGGCCGGTGTGGCGGTCTGGCGGCTACGTTGTCGCCGTCGCCGCCCCGTCGCGGTCTTGTCGCCGCCCGTCATGTGTGCCTGTGTGGCGGTCTGGCGGCTACGTTGTCGTCGCCGCCGCTCCGTCGCCGCCGCATAACTTGCACCACACGCACTGCACACCATCTACTTTGCAACTTGTACGACATAGGAACATTGGACCTACCGCACCCCCCTGGGATATTATCCCCCCCTCCTTGGGGTATTGCGATTAAACTATGACTCTGCTCTATCGCTCCTGTCGGGTATAAGCTCATACCATCCCAGCCATACCTGTATCGACACCCTCCCCCCTCATCGTCGTCGAAGAATACTATGCGCGCGCAGTCGTTTGTTTTCACAAGTCAGCAACTTTCAGTAATCCGCTGCAGCAGAAGTGACAATCCACCCGCGCGCGTCGTCGCGCGCGCATGCTGAAATCATTCAAGAACCGTTGGTTTCGAACGGGTTTCAAAATCGAGTGTCCCAGAACGATCTGGAACACCAATGGTTTCACAACATGGTGGTTTAGAACATCGGAGTTTTTCTTGTAAATCCTTGCGGAACTCATTTCTTCATTTCTTTACATTCAACATGTTCAACATCTGCGACCAGACGGGCCTCCCGCGCGCGCATGCCAGAATCATTCGAACGTCCTTGCGCGCGCGCTGGTGGTTTGCACGGTTCGTGTCAAAGAACACCATGCGGGCCGATCGCGCCTGTTGGCCGCGCGCGCATGGCGAACCCCCCCAAAACCTTAGTCGCCGGCACGTGGACACCATCATCGTCATCGACGTGATTAACATCAGCGCCGTCATTGACCTTGCCCTCGTCATCAGCATCGCTACTATTATCATCGCGTCTGCCTTTTGTCGACGTCGCTATAATACCGCGCCCGCCCGAGTCACCGGCTCGCAGTGAAGTGCCCGCGCGTCTGTGCGGCCAGTGAGTTGCGGTGGAATGTTCCCAGTGGTCAGCGCCACCGCGGCCGCGTGGGTCGCGCCAGACTAGCTGACCTTTGTGCGCGCGATCATGCGTGCGGTAACGCGGCCGCAGCGATGCGCCAGCCAGCATTGAGCAGTCCTCGCAATCGCCGCCGCATGGGTTTTGCAAACCAAGTGGATGGTGAATGGGTGAGATGACTGCGCGAGCAGTGGAGTTGACATTTTACGGCCAAGAATACCCATTTGCATCGCACTGATTGCACCATGCATGTTGCTCCATAAACCATGAGATCTGTGTTCATAACACACATTGCACCACGTATATGGCAATACAGAAACCACATCTGTTGCACCACGTTGGTTGCACAGCTTAGAGTTGCACAACAATTACAAACTACATATGTCGCACCACATGGGGTGCACCACGATCTTGAGCAGCATATGTTGCACAACATATGCTGTACCACGTCAACTGCACTTCATAGGGCACCCCACATCTATTGCAAAGGCTGTTTTGGCCAGGCGCACTGTTTGGGGTTCACGCGGGCTGGCATTGTACTGTCGAAGCATTGGGATAAGATGACGTGCGGCGGGCGTAACGAACACAGCTGCAGTCTTCCTGGTTTACCCTCTGCACGAAGAGTCGTGCACCCAGAAAAAGTGGCCGAGGGGAGACGCTGCGAGACCTTCAAAATCACCACACCAACAATTGCACGAATGGGCCACGGCTTGGGCACGACGCGGCCGAGCAGCGGCGGCCGCAGCGATTGCTTTGGCCCGACCCACAATGCAGGAACTGAACGAGGCAGCCAGGCGCACGATCGGCGAGTAACTTGGGCACGGGCCAGCACCACACCACATTCGCACGACCACGAAGCACAGGCGGGCCGAAGTGAGCCACTTGGGACCAGGGTCGCCACCGAAACCGAGAGGTCAGGCAACACACTGAACCAGTAGACTGCAAGCCAGTCGTGCAGGGAAGCCGAAGCAGCCTGCATCTGGGCAGGCTGCAGGCGAGCCTCCGCCAGAGAATCCACACGCCTTTCCTGCTCGGGCAAGGGGGGGTGGTCCGACTCGGGCTGGAGGTCGGAAAGGTGGGATGGGGTGGGTGGCAAGAAGCCTGTACGACTGGCCTCCCTCGTGGGGGATGCCTCCCCCTGGCCAGCATACTGCATCCCCAGCTGCCGAACTCTGAGGCATGACGATTGCAGATGTCTTACAAGCCTTTGAGATCACCGTGCGAGGTGTAACTCTTGCAGCGCACACGAGCGAGCATGGACGCCACGTCTCCCGCCCCGAGCGAACACAGTTATGACCAAACTCCGGCATTAGACTTGGAGGCAGGTCCCTGGCCCCGGGGCATTTGCACTGAGGGGGGGGGGCGAGCGGGCCGCCAGGACTCGTGGACCCGCCAGCTGCAGAAACCCTTCCAGAAAAGGTGCTGACGTGACGTCGGCCGTGCTGCAATCCTTCGGGCTGGGGGAGGGGAACCAACAGGCCTGGTGCGCTCGACTTCGCTGGGCTGGCGAACGAGAGGAGAAACTGGATAGCGAACGCACGGTGAGAATGCGATCGGCCCTAGTATACTCGATGTGTCGTCCGAGGGCCTCCTCGGCCTCATCGTCCGTGGGATGCCTTGACAGAGCTGCTTTGGCCGCACTGTCGGCGTCGCCATTTCCCTCACGCCAGGAGCAATTCGTTTGAAAGAGAGGGACCGTCTGACGACTGGTGGGGCCGAACGTGGGAAACCTCTGAGACCCAGGCTAAGTTCTCCTCGCTCCTGGCCTGAAGGAAACGCCCCGCGCAGGTCATCTTTTCGGGAAGCTGGCTAGCACGAGGCAGCGCCTGGGTCTTGACTGCGTACTCGCAGCGGGAAGCTCCATGACTGGGCCCGTTGACGACCTGGAAACCAGCTAACTCGGTGCAAGTTCGCCCCCCCCCCGAGGAGGCTGCGGCATACGGGCCCGCACGTGCCCCGAAGTGCGACATAGCGGAGCCCCAGCAGGCGATTGGTTGCCATTCGTTCTCAAGATATGGCAAGCAGGTTTGAGCCACAGCGGCCACGGAAGGTATCACGCAACGCGCTAAAACAGAAACCCACAACTCCTTGTGCCACCTACAGACGCAGGCAACCTGCGAGAGCCAGGTGGGGTCAGACTCCACAAGCACGTGCGTACCGAGAGAACGCTGGCCGGCCGAAGGCTCCATGATACGACTGAGGCTATGCCGCAGAACGAACCGCTCGCTGTGGGAACCTCCGTACCACCCATAGCCGTAGTTAGTGACAGGGAGGGGCCTCGCAACCCAGAGGCGCGCAACTCCTACTACCCAGAGTCAAAACAGGACGACCGAGACGGGACGCCTAGGCGGCCCCTTCTTTTTTTCATCTGCTTTTTGCACAAGCGTCTTTCGCGTCCGCATGCCGCCGGGAAATCCCAGCGGTATCGTCAATTCCTGGGTTGGTACCCGACAGAACCAGGAGCCCCAATGGTCTAATTCCAAACAGGCCTCAATCTCGAGGCCCGCGGCGTGGGAGGAGCAGACGAGGACGGCCTTGTCAGCCGACGGGACGGCGCCGACGTCGTGCGCAGCTCGCTCGTGGGCACGAACGCCTTCAACACATCTGGACACTACCTGTCTGAACATGTAATCAGGGGCAACGATAGGGGGGGATAGGCATAGGGGGGATGCATCGGCCCCTAATCGCCCATTCATCGCCGGCAGGGGCCCGATAACCCCAGCCTGCCCAGGAAGGTGATGATTCGCGATCGGAGGCCGTTCGATGATCTATCGGCGATGTATCGCCGATTCCAACTCGATGCATCCCCCCCTATGCTAGTCCCCCCCCATCGTCATCGTTGCCCCTCAGCCAATGGCCGGATTCGAATTGTTCTCAGCAGCGGGTTTGTAGCCGGTACATATTGGGCATTGGATGCGATCGAAGGGGGCCAATGTTGTTGACGCGGGCCGTCGTGGTGGCCATGCAACAACCCCGCGACATCTTCTAGCAATGCGTAGCACGGCTTCGAGACTATGCCTTGTAGCGTTAGGTGGCCCATTGGGGAGGAGGCCTGGACCGAGAGGCGGCCGACTCCTAGGTAGAAATCAGTCTGGGTACAACGGGCTAGCAGCTGGTCCAAGGGGGAGGGTTTCATAGTATCTGACAAAGTCCCAACGGAGATTCGCGGGAATGGGGCCCGACGCGACCCCATTTCTGACTGTGAGACCTGGCGCCGAACCGTATCTCCCGCACCCGTGAAAGTTCCAGCGTCAAATCAACTACGGGAGTGGGACGCCTTCGAGCTGTCCGCGATGTGTCTTCGAACCTTGGCCCAGAGGCGGTGACCAGAACAGAGCACGCCAATCGGCCTGACTCCAACAGGGTGCTTGGGAGTCAGGTGCTCCATAACAGCCGCCAGATGGGAAGGAAGGAGACCAGAGGTCCCCATAGCCTGAAGACAAGGACAGGACACAGAGCAGCCCCGCGCCACAACGCCACCCATCATGCCTGCTGTGAGACCCGTCGGTAGCCACCGCCGACCTGGTCTTGTTCCCTAGACCAGCCTGCCCAATGCCCGCGCAGCAATATGTCTCAGGCGAACCCTTCCTAATCTTTCTGCGGCTGTCAGCTGCACCCTACCAGAGCATACGCCTTCCCAGGCGACGTGGCCTCCCCCCCGCGCAGAAATTGGCTCCTGTCGTGCCAGAGCTGGTCCCCATCGTGCTGTTGGCTTCAGGCGGCGCACCCCCCGCCCTGAGTTGCATACGCGGCAGGCACAGACGACCATCCCCCCCTGGCTGGCTTGGTACGTCATTGTCGACACTAGGCTACCCTATCGGCTCTGTCACCTCGTCGCCACTGGGGTGTGCCCCTGTCCTTTGTGGCTCCTGCATGGCGTCGGCCATGCGGATTGATAACACGGCCCTGGAGATGGCCTGTTGGATGTGACGGCGCGCGCGCTTTTGGTCCGCGTCAGTGGCCCCTTCGCTACCCCCCCAGTTCGCCTCGGCTGTCATGACGCTTTACTACAAGTTCCGGATCCTCGGCAAGAGGCTCCGTCCTCATCGTGGCTTGAGCCTGAGCTGCGGCGAGTTCGTCCCTCCTCCGTGTCTTTTTGCCACTTTTTCGCCTTCTTCCTCTGTTGTCTTCGTTCGCTCCTGTCTCTGCCGCGGTGGGGTCGTGCATCGCCTGTTAAGTCTCGCCACAATTGTGGTTTTTTTTACCTGCACGCTGCCGGCGGCAATTACGCTGTGCCTGACTCTCGCTTTACGACCTGTTCGACGGCGCGCGGCTGCCCGCGTCGTTCGCAAGCAACAAGTATCCCCACCAGCCCATCCAGAAACGATCAGCATGGGAGGTGGGGAACCAGGGACGGCTGGAAGCATGCAGTTGCGCGGCCGTTTTCAAATAAACCAGGATCACACATAGCGTCCCGCGTCGAAGCTTACGGTGGAAATCGAAGCAATATGCGACGCGGTGCTCCCAGAAATCAGCGCCTCTAGCGCAGGTGGCTGTATGCACCCTGGGCCATGAGACACATGGATCACACATAGCTTCCCGCAGCGACGTTTAATATGGAAACAAGTGCAAAATACGCCGGGATGTTCCCTGTGGTCAGCGTTTCTGGCGCAGGTGACTGTATTTATCATTCGTCGGCCTTGTCGCACAGTTGAAAGTCGCATCCCCAAATGCGTCCTTGATCTCTGCCCCCGCATTCAAGTGTATCTTAAACTCGCGTGCGGCTGTTGGTGATGGGGGTGGTAGCGGTGGTGGTTGTGATGGTAATGTTGCCGGCGCTGCTGTTTGTGATGCTCAGTTGCCCTCTTGGGTCCATCTTGGAACAAGTGCTGCTGCTGCTGGTGCTGGTGACGCCTGGGGCCATCTTGGGGGTAGTACTAGTAGTAGTAGTAATAGTAGTAGTAGTAGTAGTAGTAGTAGTAGTAGTAGTAGTAGTAGTAATAGTAGTAGTAGTAGTAGTAGTAGCAGTAGTAGTAGTAGTAGTAGTAGTAGTGGTAGTAGTAGTAGTAGTAGTAGTAATAGTGGTATCAGTACCAGTAGTAGTATGAGTAGTAGCAGTAGCAGTAGCAGTAGTAGTAGTAGTAGTAGTAGTAGTAGTAGTAGTAGTAGTAGTAGTAGTAGTAGTGGTAGTAGTAGCAGTAATAGTCATAATAATGGTAGTAGTAGTAGTAGTAGCAGTAGCAGTAGTAGTAGTAGTAGTAGTAGTAGCAGTAGTAGTAAATAGCATCGATTAGTAGTAGTAGTAGTAGTAGTGGGAAGCAGTAGTAGTAAGTATTAGTAGTGGTAGATAGAGTAGTAGTAGTAGTAGTAGAGTAGTGGTAGTAGTAGTAAAGTAGTAGTAGTAGTACATATAGTAGTAGTAAGTAGTAGTAGGTAGTGTAGTAGTAGTCGTAGTAGTAGTAGTAGTCGTAGTAGTAGTAGTA